CTCCGCTATCAGTCTCTAAATCGTCTTAGGTATCCTAGTTTAACTAGCTTAATTTTTCTTCAGGGATTTGATGCAGCACAATCTTCGATTAAGCGTAAGATGCAATTTAGGCAACAAACATTTATGATTTACTCAGTCGTGTTAAGCGCAATTATTGCATTATATCATATAAACCATATGTCATAATTCTAGACCTAAAGCGAAAATTTACTACCGTGTAATCTTATTATGACTTATTTAAAACGATACTACCCTACTAAACAAGAAACCCTTTACTTCTTACATTTTTATCCTTTTTAAAAAGTGAAGATCTCTTTAGTCAAGATTTAGGCAAAGATATACAATGAATCTAGACACTTTTTCTTTTAGAACAGAAAGCACGTTCAAGACCCATGTCAAAACCAAATGATAAAAACACTTAGGTCGTACAATGAAACAGACAAACACTTCGCACTAAGGGACCTATATCACAAATCTTCTCTATTATTAACTTCAGTTACCAAGTGTATGCGCCAATCTTCAGTGAGTCTGAGATTCGCCCTACGAATAATCAGAATTCCTGCCCGTTTGGGAGAATTGGCAGAATAGGTGTAGTCCATGGACTGCCGCCGTCCATCAGAGAACAACACAGTAGCACGGATGGCTGGATGAGAAAACCCTAAAAAGATAATGCGTTCAATGTAACCATGATTTAAAGCAGCCATTTTAAGCGATGACTGGCTATCCATCCCAGGAGTAGGTACTACACGAAGCTGAAGGAAGCCGCCAGGTCCATGACTGGAGGCATGTCCAGCAACGCTAGGCGTCTGATTGTACATGAGGTGAAGCATTGTAGCTCCGGGATAAGATGATGCTCCACGTCGCCGACTATGATAGTCATCAAGATAAAGGTGGCCTAGGCAATTAGGAATCCTATTATCCAACGTAACTATAAGAGTGAAGGGGTCGTGTCGCATCATCCAGGAAGAGCGCCGAATCCGTTCTCTCCTAGGTATAATCCTCCCGCCACGGTAAAACGCCGGAATCGATGATAATTGGACTGGATAATTAATCTTTTGTCCTCCAGAAAATTCCTGAATGCGAAAAAAGGCATGAATTAGTAATAAGAAATTGCCAAGGAAAGGATAAAGAACAAAAGATATACATGGCATGAGCGCCGAGAAAGAACAAGAAACAGCTCTCACCTAATGTAAAAATTTGATGTCCGGTCTTATTTATCCAAAAGTGGAGCCATATTATGTTTAAGACAGCATCAAGGATTCGATGTATTTAGCTCACATCCCCAGACATTTCGCTGTCAGTCATAGCATCAAGCTGCAACTCATCAAAGAGCCCCCCAAGTCAATCCCTTGACGAACTTCCTGCCGATCTGTACTGCTATATTTACCTACTGCTTGTTACAACTGATTAGCTCATATTCGACTACTCCAAAGACGTGCCCTTTTAGGCGACTTTAGTGAGGCATTATTAAACCTTGTTTACTTTGTACCACTCAAGTATGAGTGAAGTCCACCCCTTGACTAACTTTCGGCTTAACAGTAGAAATAGACTAACTATTAAACTATGATGAGTTTAGCGCAAGATTTTATATTGATGACACGTCTGAGAATGCGTGAAGTAAACGGTGCGACACTGGAAATTATCATGAC